GTACTATGTGCATCTGTCAGTTTCACTCAGTGAAACTGACGAGTAGTACAGCAGGATTTCATGTAAGAAACAGCTTATTCGGCGGTAGACGCAATAGGTCTGACTGATTAAATAGCCAAAGAATGGTCATATAAAGGTCAGGCGGAGAAGAGAGGAGAGGACACACCGAGTGCCAATAATGATGACTGAGATACGCGAGATTCAAAGCACTTCATTTAAGCTATTGAGCGAGACCCAAATAAAACAGTATACGAAAGAGCGAAGTACACTCATTTGCACGCCAGTTTGGTTTTGACGGGAGACTCACCCAAAACCCAGCTGAATTTCTTGTTGTTCTGTGTACAAGAAAATATAGAAAACTCACACTACTTGTCAGTAGTCCATTTATGAGACTGAGCCTTGATTCCCGTGAGCAATCAGCACCAAGCAATTGCTGAAACAAGTCGGCAGACTGTAACAGAGTAAAAGGTTTCCTAAATTTGTTGGTAGTTGGGGAGATTTGGGAGTTTTGTGTGGAGATTTCGTCCTGTTAGTAAAGCCAGTCTGTGTTGAAAAGCCGAGAAGCACTGTACAGCTGTTACTTCCTTATTGGGAATCATCACCAGTGCGCAACTCATGAAACTTCGAAGAGTCTCGAACCCGCGGCCTCATTACTAGTAGTTTAGACTATTCGACCACGAGCTGCTAAGCCACCACACTTACTCGTTAGCTGGACCTGATACCAAACACTAAGTTGCACTGCATCAGGGGTTTTACCACACTTTTCATCATTCGTTACCCTTTAAATCATTGCGCGCATTGATAGTTGTTGTTCTGCTATGATCTCTCGTTGTCGGAAGCTGTCAGATACCGACTGAAAAACACCCACCAGGCGCTACCAAGTCTCATAAATGACGGCACATCTAGAAGAAGCAACGAATGATTCACATGGTGTCTTAAGTGAACTGCCATTATTTTTAGTTCATCGGTTCCAAATTGCAAGTGTTATTCATGTGAAACCATCCACTCTGACTAATAGTCTATCTTCAATGAAGAATTAAAGTAACTGTACAATTGTCATGAAGACCTTCCGAATTGTCCTCGATTGTGTACCTTTTAGTGTTGTGAATTCAGTGTTGTGAAATTCACAGAGCGAAAAACAGAGTGGTAGCAAAATTTAATTGGTATATAATTATAGACGTTATACTCTACTCACAAGTTTACTGAAAATTCTTCGGCAGCCCACGACCAGTTTCTCCCTTATTGGGGCCCTACTGAACAGCAGATGGGGCCGCAGTTTCCAATCGAAACCACAGTGCACCATGATTACAGACTTCTGAATGGTATACAAACTGCAGTCTTTACACCTAGCCTGAATTGCTAAACTGGTCGACAGGTAGTTCTGGCTGGTGATATTATTACTGACGATGGCGACTACTCGCCGCGACTGCACTTTCATTACTCACTGCAGACATAACGGTGCAACTCAGTATTGCTGACAGACCATTCACTCAAAAAGACTACACAGGACCGTAATCATGAGCATTTACCACCCTAGTGTGCCATGAAAAATTCAATGCGATCAACACAGAAACAGTGGTTTGGAGTCATCATCACTTCCAAAGCATTAGAATAAATCATTTTGACGTGTCAACCGTCATTGAGACAAACTATTTAAAAGAGAAGAGTGTCAATACACTTGAATAGCCGTTCTGCAGATGCACCCTTTCAGATCAGTAAACTAATCCCATTTTGGTGTTCTCACTCCCAAGACACATTTCCAAGTGAAGAGATCATTCTATCAGTGCCAGTGGACCTCCCTAGACAACCTTCGTGGTATAATTTTTGCTTAGTGGAAAATAACTTCACGTCGAACTTCACCTACGGCTCTTTTTACTCAGTCGGATCCGGAACCTATGAGACGATCTCACTAACCGAATGTGGCTTTGGTAAATCAACCAAAGTTAAAAGCCACCACCATTTGGGAAAACATTTCGAGGCTGCTGAGTTGCAAATATTCGATGGTCGTGAAGCCGACCAGTAACATGGGTCTTGCTGGATGGTTATTCAAGCTCTGTGAGCGGGAGAAACGACAAACAGGATGCCGGCGAATCGGTTGTCGGACTGAGTACTGGGATATATACTTTGCGATGAATGCATACTGGCGTACGCTTTCACATCAGAAATGCTCAGAAAATTTACTGACATCAGAACGAGGCAGACAACAGACCCGGTGTTTTCGAATGATTGTTTTTGTCCTGTTCTTCAAGCGGCTTTTTGGAAATTCAGCCGGTTGATTAGGTCCTTCTACTTCGAACTGCGAATTCTTCTCGAGACAATCTTTGATTTTCACTATTCTCTATGGCCCAATTGTAAAAATCTGGGTTCTTGTTCAGAATGAGGTCTCTCTCTTTAATTGAAAAGAATATTAGTCGCCCGCGTTGTGATGATGACCATTGGTTTGTTCGCTGAGCTTGGTAATTTGGCTGCTTATTTTTTCTGAAGATTCTAGGCTACTTGCAGAACGCACAGCTTAATAAGAATCCTTGTGAGGGCTATTTCCATCCCTCCAGACCACCTCATTTCCATTTTTATAAGCTTATCTGATTCCAACCAGGGCACTGCCTGCCAGGACCGAGAGAAACTGAGGATCATTCAGAGGAAATTAAGTCACACTTAGAGCCCAACGTAATCAAAGGTATGCCTAGTGCCATGGACATACTCTGTGTACACTGTTCCTAGTCCACAGTTTTTCCACCTTAATACCCACCAAGTTCTAGCTTGGTAAACAGAGCTAAGTCTACGATTTTTTCTGCTAGGTAATCGGAAGTCATATTTCAGCGGGGAATTTTCGAGATGCCATTCTCGTAAAACTTTGGAGAACATGGAATTCGTAAGAGGAAAGTTGGATCAAAGCGAAAACGGCCACCTGACTTGTATTAGGAAGCTTGCAGGGACTCATAACCGGAAAATAAGCCAAAAACAGAAGGTACTTCGACAAAATGTATTATGGGCATCCTAAATTTGAATTTGTGGGGTAATAGATCCACACGCCTGTTTATAGCGAGGATAGAGGTACACAGATTCGACGATACTGTGTGCAAGTTACAGTTGGTTGGTGACAACGTCCAGCGCTGACTTAGTTGACATATTACTGCACCAGTGAAAGCAAAGCTGCTATTGAAGGCTGCGTACTATGACCTGAGGACGATGGTTTCGTAATAGTCATGTCTGTCCTCCAGTATCGACCGGGGCGGTAAGATGACACTGAAATTTTCACATGCAGTATGCTGCTTGGAGGCAACTTAGCCTTTCAGAGCACTGGCGCTCTTCGGAAACTGAAACGATGAATAGCTGGGATCGATCTCACACAGAGATAGCCAAGACCCCGCTATCCCATCATCATCACCGACAACATAACATCGGTGCTCAACATCAATTCTTCACTGCTGTACAAACCATGATTTATTTGAAAGCCTTATTGTGAAGAAAACAGTAAACGTTGTCGGGGAGGAGACTTAGTGCTAGCTTACCACAATCATTCCGAGGTGCCTACACCTCCAGGCATTCACTCAGGCAATCCGGATAGAAACTGACAACAAGAACGCCACTGACATCGGTTGGCAGCCATATCTTGTAGTGTCTCCAACCAAGCACAGTGAGGATCACGCTATCCCCATCCTGGAAGGTGAGTAGCACCGACAGCACCCAAGCGTTTCGTGATCTCCTTCATACTCCTCTGCCAAGTCAAGGGTTGGCCACCTCTCTGTTTACGCCACTCTGAATTGGGCATGGAAAACAGCACTCTCTTCGGCAAACGATGGTTCGGCATACGTAACACATGTCCCAACCAACGCAGCTTCTGGTGCTGGACACATTCTTCAATGGAAGCACCCGTTGCATAACCGAACACTCGCTTTCTAATCGCCTCGTTACAGACACGCAGACACTAACCCACACCAGCTATTGTTTTGAGACGACTGTCGAACACCTGAAGACATCTCGGTTTCGATACTCCAGCAGGTAAAGTCTCACAGCCATGCAACAACAGTCCGCACTGTAGGTTGATACACACGTCCCTTCAGATTCAGGGATACACCACTTTGATGCCATAGGGGTCTTAAATTAGAAAACGGGACTCGAGCCTTTCAGATTCGCGCACTGACCTCACCTGTCACACTAAAATTGGAACTAATTCAACTTCCAAGATACGTAAAACGCCCCATAACTTTAAGTGCCTCTCCATGGATTGTAAGTGGCATGTTCAGTGATTGCATGTCCAGGAGCATGACCTTTCGCTTTGTGGGTGCAAAGTGCATTCCAAAGGACAGGATGACTTTGGTCAAGTCATTCAAGAACTCTTGCACGTCCTCCTCTTCGAACATAAGAACGACGTCGCTGCATATTCCAGATCGACAGGGTTTTCTTCACAGGCTATCACCAGGGTTTTAGAGACTTTCCAGCGTTCGTTTCATGATTTCATCGATCACGAATTGAAACAGAAATGGGGAGAGTGGGCATCTCTGACGGACACCACTTTGTGTACGGAACTTTTTGGCGACCTCATCGTATACTCACACGTCCGGAAGATTGGGAATACAAAGAGCTTATTAATCACGGGGCATTATCACGGGGCATTCCTTGGTGGGCAAGTTTGTGAAGCAGTAGTGAGGCAGAGCAATCGACGAACACTAGAACTGTGGAACCTATGCATTCATGTGTCACCCAAAAGGGCTTTCATGAATACGTTTGGCACTTTGTTGAGTTTCTCAGACGAAACTTTGAGTCACGCACAGGTTTGACGATCCGAAATATAAAAAAAGCACACTGCTTACATATATGTGAGCGAAATCGAGCAACCTGTTATCCACATTCTGCAGTGATCAAGCGTGCACATGTCACTGAAGGCACACAGCCGCATAACTGCGCATACCACATAACGGCGGACAGTTTTGGCTCGCTGGTTTGGGTTACGGTTGTCCCTTCCGAGACCAGCCTGGAGATATTGATTGGCGTCGCGATCACATTGGCGTCACGACAGGACAAGTCGGAGCAGGTCCAGCAGAAGGAGCGCGAACGCGGTCGAGCAAGTAGGTCAGTGACCCGCACAAACATGCCAGAATACCAGTGTCGGACGGGGTGGTAGGGAGAATGGTGGGTGCAAATACCGTGAAGGAACTAAACAGGTATCAGCGTAACACAAACAGCACCGGGAAGGTAGACCCGAATAATGAGATATGCAGCAGAAGACAGCTGGTGTCTATAAAGTTGAAGACCCCTCTTTACAGGTTGTGCTCAATTTTGTGGAAGTCTTCAGCATTATTTATAGCCATTTATAACCACCTAAAATCGCTGTTTACGCAAGGACATAATTTGCTTTCTCGTGATGCCGTCTTTCGCCAGCCTGGTTGGCGTGGATGACGGTGTACTTTGGAGTAGCTCAAGTCTTGCTCAAAGTTATTGCTGTTTATCAGCAGACGAATGAACCAAAGTAAAGCACGACGGCTGGATCTGCCAGACAATACTAGATAGTTGGCTGGATTTCCGCCATAGCATGTAAGGAAATCCGCCTCTTCTCCAACATGCACTGAAGGGTGTGGCAAATACAGCTGAGTTTCCTGCGTTTTTTCACTTTGTAGTGCAGAAACGCAAAGTTAGTAAGTCTGGGAAGCAACCAGTGACCGAGAATAGGATTCCTTACAAGTAATCGCCCTTGAGAAATCCTTCCTGGTCATGATAATAAAAGTGGTCCATCTAAAGTCCTTATCCTCTGGCTTAGTAGCAAACAGGCATCTCCCTTTCAGAGTTTCAGGCCAGCTTCCACCTCGCACGCGAGACACCCCGAAACGAGACGAACCAAGAGAATAGGTGTCACATTTTGAGTTAAAGTCAGTGGTGAGCCTATTCTGTGGGGTAGGGAGAAATAAGACTAACCAGGTGAACCGTTGACGAGTCAAAACCGAGGTTCAGCTGGTCACTTATGTGGATCACCTTCAGGTTCAACTTCCAACGATGTGCGAACTGGATAGTTTCAATTTCCGATCGAGCGATTTGATGTCGTGATGTCCCTTTGGAGTCAAATAGGTCCAAATGACAACCTTGAGTTTTCCTAATGAATTGTGATAGCAATGTTCAAAATTCAAATCAGTCCAAGTTGAAAAGACCGAGACCTTGTTGTCTGCACTAGGAACTTTGAAACTCCAAGTTGGAGTACAATGGCTTCTAATCAAGAGCATACTACAGATTGGAATAAATGAATTGAAAAGAAAATTGTCGTGTCCAGAGCCTGCTCTGGAGAGCTAATGAAACGAATAGCGGTTGCTCTTAACATAAATACAGCTCGCGTTTGCGAAGAGCAATACTCTCTGTCTACTTATTATTTGCAAATACATTGCACACAAAATGGGCAAATGAATCACAACACCAAATATCCTGTGATTGGCGATTACCACTTAAATCAGGCCTTAAAGTGTCCACCCAACCCCAGCACGACCGCCTTTCGTTCAGGCTTACCTTCAGAGCTACGAGCCCCACAATTGAAGTGGGTCCCCGCAGTTCTGGACGCATATCGACAGTTGAGACTAAATGCACAACCCCCTGAAAAAAACTAAAATGCTGAATCTACAAAATACTGTGCTAGACAAGTCAAGTGAAGCTCTGTGGACTCGACATCTACCTATGAATGGTGCGCAAGGACCGACGCGGGTTAAACAGTTTCAAGTTTGCACGTTAGTAACCATGGTTGACTTTCACTAGAAAGAATCGTCCGGATGCTACGAAATAACGCACAATCCGGACAAAATATCGGCGCAAAAAGACAGCGATTAGCAGACGAATTACAGCCCTGTCGAACACAAAACACCAATTTGCGTAATCCTATCTGTTACGGAACGGACCGATTCACGGGAAAATGCTTGGGGAACCTAAGATACTGATTAATGCCATATCAAGAAACATAACTGATAAGTCGGTGAGAATAGGCTCTGAGTGTTCAGACTGCTCGACCTGACGTTCTAGGGTATGATGCAGTAAAGATTACCGTGGGTAGCATCACATCCTTGAAGACAGAGACCTGAAATCTGATCAGCACGCTATAAACGAGTTAGCGCACCACTCGCATAGCCTCAGGGAGGAAAGACGCTTTCGCTGCAGAAGTTACCAGAGCGATAATCTGGTGAACAACTATCACAGGGGAATCGCCTTTGGCAGCGCGCACTGGAAAACAATGGTCAAACTCATGCGTGACGGTACAGAATAACTACCACCCTCCAGTTATTAGATGTCGATCGTCACGATGAGTGTTCAATTTATCGACATGATACGGTGTCCTTGTACACCTCTTACGTTACCAAGTCGTAACTGTTAAACCAGAAAAATACAAGTTTGCCAACTGGAATTCCACCGACACATCGTGGTGAAAGGTTATACAGACGGTCGCACCATTTACATAGTGCAGAGGTTAGGGTGAAAATCAATCAGTAATGGCAGGACTAGGCAGAACTTGGTATTGCTTCAGAATGATGCTTCGAAAGTAGGGCCTGTATTTAACTTGCTCTGAATCCAGTAGAATGGTTTGCGCTAGGTTTATGCTTATCACGGAAAACTTGAATTTCCAAATTAGCTGAGAGCGTCACTGACGGGATGCTACAATTAATCCTCCATCTTTCCAAATTAGAACGATCCACAAAGTGGTTTACGTTTGCCTGTGGCTGTAAAATATCTAAACCGTGGGCGAAGCGTCCCTCACCTGAAGTACATTTTGACTACATGAATCCTCGTAACTCCTGCGCTGTCAGTTCAGAATAGGTTCCTAAGCCTTAGGGGGGATCAAGTTATCCACTTCAGTCTTGCGAAGGCTGGTAATCGTGATTCGGCGGCACCAAGCACAGATAAGAGAATGCCGAAACACTCGCCCAAAATTTAGCTTCGAACTGTATAATACCTCAAGCTGTCGCTGTTCTGGATTCCCACAATCCCACCTAGCTGGCTATCATTGCAAGAACATTCGATAATCTGCTAGGTTGATATATCGAAGCCCCTGGCCAGGATTCACCCACTTAGTTTCGAAATTGCGCTCCAGAGTTAAGTCAAGTTGCATTTCACTCCTATCCAATGTTATCATAGCCTCGAATTGGAAAAATCCACATACCCTCCCTGTCCCTGAGCACTGGTCCATTCTTGACTCGAACAGCTACCATCCTATTACTATCACACATTTCACCCAGTTATCTGAAGACGTGTCTAAACGATTGCATGATCTTGAGAAAAACCTCCAAATCGACCAACGATAAATGATCAAAACGGTGCGTATCTTCCGTTGCATCGCAACTAGAAGGCAGACATTAATCGGTCGCAGATGCACAACATCCAGCATATACAGGTAACGGACATAGTAAGCAACCAAAGCGAACGACATACAGCTCTGGAGGAGCGAGTGGGTTGGGGTTAGCTTTAAGGTAGTCGGGCAGCTTAAAACGAGTTTTCACACTCCCGATTGTTTTTTCGATATTTCATGGCTACATTAGTGGCCTTATGGTGAAACTAGACTGTATCCATGTTTCAAAGGTATCCGATAGAGTGCGGTATAAGGCCTCGTTGTTAGGATGTTCACATACGGACTACACCGGATAACGATCAGCTGGATCGGAAATTTTCCAAAGAACCGCTTGCCGCAATCTCCTCTCGGCAGCGTTGTTCGACGTATACAAAGGCTAAAACTACCGCTTTCTTAGGGTTCTTTATTTGCAAGCTGTCTCCTCGCAAATACGCCCTTGCAAACGATACTATCCTCTCTCTCTCTCTCTCTCTCGGACGCGGTTCGTCTAGTGCAGGTGAACCCAACCCTTCTATATTCTTACATTTCCAAATCCCTTCACCTATTCGTACTCAATCTACGTCACAATCAACAGTGACATCGGTCCGCAATCCCAGACTCTATAACTCTTGTATTCCTCTACGCAACTTAGCTCCCTTTCATTTTTATTGTTGTGTTACTTCCCCTCAAGTATGGGGCCTATTACTGTTCTAGTGAGCTAATCAATGTCAGTGGATGGTGGATACCTGTAGATGGTGTAAATACAGTGCAACAATCGACGTGTAACCAAAACATTTAATTCACCCAACGAGAGTGTACTAGTAATGCACGTTGAGACATGGATGAAAAATTGCAAAAGAAGGGAGGAATATGACAGAATCATGGGTAATTTTAACGAAGTGCAAACTGGCATGCAATAGAACTTCAATTTCGACACTTTTTCGGTTGTCGGTTGTTGCTGCTGATGCACACCAACACTACACCTGAAACAGGGGACAAATAAAGTTCTCATTAGCAAAACACCACGTAGAATCGGGAGAAACGGTTGCGAGGGTCAACCGAGACGAACTAGAGATTGGAGGTACAGTGGGGAGCAGGCCGCAGTTACATTTTTTGAGTTTTCTTTTTTTCACATTCTTTTCTCTTTTTTTTTTCTTTTTTTCGCGTCCCCATTCAATATGGATAATAGTAATAACTACCACGTCGCCTAAAATTGTGGAAGAAAAAGTGATGATAAATATTGGTAGAGAACAGAGGCTTGTATACACGGGTTGGTGAAACACTTACCGAGACCGAGGGAAACGCATTCTGCCACCACCGTAGTAGGCCGGACGTAACCCGAACGGCATCCCGCGTCCGCGACCACGGCCACCTCTCATGTATGGTGGTCGGTTCGTCATGGACATTCCCGGAACGTTGGTACGCTTCGGAAGGACTTTAAGAGCCCTGTTTCGAAAGTTAGACTCATCCAGGGCCATTGCCGCTTCTACTGCATCGCGGGTATCGAATTCGATGTAGGCAAAGCCTTTAGGCTGGCCGGTGTACTTGTTACACAGAATGGTTACACGGTTTATGGGCCCACATGCACGGAAGTGAGCTTCCAGCTCATCTGCTGTTGCACCGTAATCAACCTTTGGGTGTAAAGAACACGTTAACGGATGCGAATTGTCAGACTTACATTGCCGACGTATACGGAACGAAGATCGACTTCCGCCTTATCCTCATCCGATAAAACCGATAGACTGGTTTCTAGAAAAAGGCGAAAGTGAAATGAAGCCGTGACGCCCAAAAAACTCAAAAGTAGACGAAGCCACGTTAAAAGGAGGCTGGTTTGCAAATATCAAACTGGTCAACCAGGTACTGAGTAGTCAGAGCCTTCAGCGTTACGGCCCAAGTGGTATTACTTGACTACTGTGATACGCTTACAAACGTGAACATGGAATAGCGTGCGAACCTAAATCAGCAGGAATATAGAATTCCCGAGTGAATACGCGAGGGAACGAATCAAATAAATCTGCTGGAAGGGTAACTGAAATGCAGTGGCAGTTCGCATCATTTCTTTAAAAACTGTGGGATAGAGTTTTGTTCAGTCTGACCATATCGCATCAGAAATCACCAGTTTGTCTGACAAGCTCTAAAGCGGAGTGCAATTGTTAAGCCCACGCCGCTCTCTTTCGTTTACACCGAACTACCACACAAGACGTCTCATTCCGGCCTATAATGCAGTTGTAAACAATTTATTCTCACCAGTGTGAAAATCAGGGGATCCCACCACGTTACCTAATTAACAAAACTCTGAAAACCAAGTTCAGTTTGCATTACCACTATTTCAGTCCAAAATTACGCTCTTGAAGTCGTGAACTACAATCTCGATATGCGTCACAAAGAAGACTGAAACAAGTAGTAAGCTATACGAGTTTTCACTAAAACAGTATATTCGGTTGCAGAGTAGTGTGAACGATGGATTCAGCTGCGTCGCCCATTAACACGAACCTAATTGAAGAATGAGTGCCTCTTGCTTTTGACGGTACTCTTCTTTTCCTAAAAGGTCTTATCCAAGACCACACCCTCTCACCTATTCAAACGAATGCGTGTCAAGAATAGTTCGAGAGTCAAGTTGGTGGGACTGCCCGTGAGGACTCACAACGAAGGTAGTAAGCACAGGGATCACGAGGGTTATCTATAATAAACGTAGAGCCCGGATTTGGGTAACAATACCGCTACTGAAAAACGATCTTTTACGATCCAACAATCATTGTACACAGAAGGCACAGGAAGGTGAGATTGCAGGACTGCAGGACTGCACACAGGACTGCAGGTAGTCGGACAGGGTCATGGAAGCTGACGGTGGTCGGATTTGCGAAACTAAAATCAAACCGTGTGTAGTCACATAGGAAGAACACTGTTTAGAAACTTCTTGGTTCATCTTATTCGTTTATTAACACCAACGACGATAGCATCAGTGCTTAAAACTCCATGGGATTTGCCTCGGTAACCTACGTTGGCAAAATGGCTGGTACTAGCTCATCAGAGACAGTTTCCTCAGTAAAACTAAACATTAGGCCAACCCCACACATAAATTTTCAGTACGGAACAATTCTGACAAGCATTTTAGAACTTTTTCATGAAAAATACGCATGAAAAGCCAGAAAATTTAAAGAAAGTAATAAGGAATACTACATAATAGACACGTCTAATGAAAAGTCTACTGCCACTCCTTGATTCACGCATCAATTAAACCATCTTTTGCCTCCGATGCCTGGCTATGTTCCCGTCTTTCCAGATTATCAGAAAACAAAAGTGGCAGCTATGACCACTGTACAACATGTACGCAGCTGATAGCTGCTAGAGAAGCGGCTAACAGGATGAGTGAATTGTGTACGGCTTCAGTTGAAAGCTAGATCACTTGCCAACCTCCGATGACACATTACTGACATTAGATAAATCATTCAGTTGCAGGTCTCTTCTTCGCAATGTTCCTTAGCCAAATGTATGGAGTTTGTTTATGCGTCCATTTGGGCCCATATCCAACGTATGGAAGTACTCTATTTACTACGCATACTATCCATGGTAAGAGTAGATGAATCCCGATTTTCTACAAAAAAATTAGTTACGAGGTTGTCTAGTGATATGTTTTGAAAGCCTATAAAGCACCTCTGAAGGTATCCTTCAACTGTCCGACCGATCAGAGGGAAATCATCGTGAAGAGCTAGTGGAATTTCTCGAAACCATCAGTACGTCAACAAACAACCAGATAAAGAATCAACTGTTGGGGAGCTGTTGTAGTTTAAACACTTGATTATCTAGATTGGACAGAATCTGACACAGACGTGCGATAGACATCGGCTTCCATCCACATTTTCCAACATGTCCCGTCTGATCACATAGCACATATATGAAACCCCAAAGTTATCAACATACTCTGTAACTATCATCTCGAAGTTCCGCACAATGATTAGCGATGAATTACACTGCTTCTGCCACCATTTCTCTCAGCTATCTAACTATTTTCTTCAGGCAACCCATAAGTCCTCCTCCATGTCTGTCATCACTGCAAGGAACACCTACTAGTCTCTTTTGATAACTGATACACTAATGGCTGCCCATTCGAATCATTTCCGAAATCGCGCTCAGTCATGTCTCTTCCGTCTAACCTTACGCATTTCTGTTGGTAAATCTTATAATAATTTCGATTCCGAAAGACGCGGTCCCTTCCAAATCGAACATCCATCACCCATGAAGTTACCTTGGGCCTAGTGATACAATGGGTCATACTTTTGTCCGGTCGGTTGACCTGATGGATCCGTAATCATGTGGTAGACGTTGTTTTTAAAATTACCGTAAAACCTGTCATTTTTCAGCTATTGGGCCCGGTACGGGCGACACAGAACGAAGTGCATGTATCTACCGGTCTCTGCGTTATCACTGTGTTATCCGAACTTCCATTACCGTCCAGTTCTGGAGCCCATCCCGACTGAATGGTTTCTTCGTGAATATGAACGTACCGCCATCTTGAGCGACTGCCAGTCGATCGCTGACAAAAGTTTCCCACATTTGGTCTTCTGCTTCACTTTTCCCCATCCTCGCCCTTTTCTAACGACTTTTCCTGGTTAAATCAGTGAGAACGGGTCCCTGGAGAAGCTGGGAATTCTGTCCTCCGTACCAACTACCCTTAATCAACAAATCCCATATTCACCTCATCATGGAAAAGGGCAGTCATTTGTTTGGTAGAGTCTCCATCTTTCAATCCTGGATCAGGTTAAAAAAATTCGCTCAATTTATTACCTCCCTATCCCGCTCAGATGCAGCCAGCCCCTACTGTTAACGGGTTAACACCTACCTACCCGCTCCTTTCTGGTATCAAACGCATTTTTGACATTTTCTGAACTTTGCCGCACGTGTGGGGCGAGATGGCTCAAGCTGTTAGGGCGCACATCTACTGACCGGAAGGTCCGAGGTTCGAACCCAGTCTGCCTCTTGACTTCCCCTGTCTAGGCTTGGGCAGCCTGACAGATGGCATGGCAGTTACTCACCGAAAGGGTACTACAGCTGTACGAGTACCACACGTGTATCATTGTTAAAATGGACTCCCTTCTGTTCTGTAATCTATTTTGCGAGTACTAAGACAACAATCAGAACTATGTGACAACCAATCCGAGGGGTACGGACTGCAAGTGCAATACCTAGTGGTCAGCTAAATCTCTATTGTTTAAGTGCCCTGTGGCACATGAGCCGACTCTATCCTATATAGATCTTTAAACCAGTCATACAAAGCCCGTGAACCAACACGCGTGAGAGCCACGTCACACACCACTCTTCAGGGCCATTTTCAAGCCATGTGAGGTTTGTGGTCTTTTGGGTAAGGTGAAACATCTGGTTGACTCTACTCCTTCCTACACGAGTTTTTTAAAAAGATCGCTCCGCTGGGATGCAGATTAAGGCATGGAACGACAATCTTCTCTATCTCTTAACATTTAGTCACTACAGTTATTCAGTTATACGATGAATATCAAGGCGCAGTGGTCCCAAATCCTGAAGTTTCAACGAGGATAATGGGAATAAGGGAATGACAGTGCGCTAAAGGCAATAATCCATCCAGCTTTCAAAGCGCATGACAGCTCGGTGTTGAAAGGAAGCCTGATAATGCAGGGAATGGGTATTGCATATTGAAGGCAAAAGCTTTGACACACCGCCACTGGTTGTCAGTCACCGGACAATAGGCTGCCTGAACCCGGAGTCCCTGGTCGAAGAGAGGGCAGTTTCCAACGCGACAGACTTAACTGACAAGCACTCAGGTTTCGTTCCCAGGTAATGGACCCACCGATCCCGGGTCGTCCACTAGGTACGCAGCCCAGCGGCGGGCTCAGAAAAGTAAATGATTCAGTGGTACACAAAATTTATGGTCCAGTCAGCGTAACCTACAGTGTGACCATGGAGGGTTGCTTCTTATCATGAGGAACGGTTCTAGCTGACCAAATGTCCCCACTGTAAATCTCCCCATTTAGCGAAAAGCAATCCTGGAGACAACATATGAAGCACTATAATGACCTCCTGCTTTGAAATATTGTTTTTTCATCATCTATGGTAGCCCAATAAATGATAGTCACATCACCCAGTCCAATTGAAACTGTAGGAAACCAACCAAGCAGTGGAAAAACTAGTGGTTCGAGGTCGTTGAATGACTTGTGCACTTTGATATTAGGAACGAATGTAGACGAGCCAGTCCAATGTGGCAGTTTCACTAGGTTACTACCAACCACCAATGTATGACAGAAAAGGCCCGATCAGTTCAGCGCCTGATTACTATAGTAGACTGAACCGAGGGAATGATTGTGATGCTGTCTAACTACTTAAGTACGGGTAATTTCAGCACTTAGCTCCCGTAAAGTTTCCATTTTGGAGCACGTATAACTTTAAGGACACCCTGACTGTGCGAACAAGGTGGGTGAAAAATGGAAAATTCGTTCATCCTATGTAATGTGAATTGCCACTGGAAAATTCAGTTCACAGATCACGATCCTGAGCTTAAAGTGATCTTGTAACTTCTCCTGTTTGTGCTGGTAGAATACTGTTTATAACGATGAACACACTCACTGATTCGCATACCTACAAGTGCGATGGGGAGATTCGATAGAGATACAAACGAACCTTGTGCCTGCAATTCATTAAAAAACTAATATACAGACCAAGGGCCGTGTCGATGTTCAGTTACATCAATATTCTACATATTGAAGTATTTGGCCTCGTATGGTCGGCGTGAGTTGATTTCATGGATACACAGAAACCGATTTTCTGATCCAAACTTGGTCCGCCTGAAACCAGCAGTTTGACAGTGTACACTGAAACAATAAACTCATCATCATTATCA